TGCAGGCTTCATCAGCGTCAAAGGAGCACGCAATGGTGAGCTGAAAATTCAAATAAACTTCAGCATTCATTAAGCCAAGCCTGAGATTTCTAATTTTAGACACAGCTGCATCTGTAATACCAGTTATGTTACAGAGAATGAGCCAGGAGTCCCTTTTGTTTACACTAGAATGAACTAGGACCAGCACCACCAACTTTTACAGTAGAATATTGGAATTGAAACAGTGCAAGAGCAGAATCAGACCTCTGCAGTAGTGTAAATCCTTTATTTCTGTAGGTAGCTTCGTTTTACAAACCCATTGATGGAAATAGAAAGCACCACTCTGCCTCTGAAAGAAACATATGTTAGCGAATGAGCTTTGCACACCACAGGTTTGGTGTGTATTGTAGATCCAAGCCAATAAATGTAAAATACATCAAGGTGCAGATATGAAATTGCTGAATTCCAGTGAGCCAGAAGCAGTTGATTAGATTATCACTGAATAAAAAAAACCCAAGCCTACATAAAGAAGGCAGTTAAAGAGATAAATATCAGCAGTTTCCTCCCGCCAGAGATCTGCTCCCAAAATACATATTCAAAGTGTCTTTTATATCTCATGTATTATTAATAGACAGACTTGGAAAAAATTCTGGGCTTTTATGAACTGATTTACTAATCTCATGATTGCAAGTGTAGCACCCCAAAATTAAGAAGAAAGTAGTTTTACCTATGACAGTCTTTTCTTTATTCAAATATCCATTGGAATGCCAGCAAAAACTCTTTATTGCATTAATCAGGAGGAATGTTATGTTCTTTACCTTGGTATGCTGGAAATGAAATACATTGTGAGTGTATTTCAACTGAAAGATAAGAAAGACCTTAATAGTTACAATTTTAGTAATTCATTATCCATATAGTACACATTTGTAAGCACCTAATAAACTCATGAACATTACCTTGAAAATGCATTTCTTTTAGGTCGCAGTACAAGAGTACTATTTGCACGCAGAAATTTTGTCCATAGGCAATTGACAACTGAGAATACTGACTGAAAAGCTGCTATCTTTTTATTTCTGTTAGCTCTGCACTGTTCAAAGCATAAGAAAGAGAATGAAATTTTAGTCTGGCACCCACACTCTAATAAGAATGCTACATTCTGTTTTCAAAATCATTACATCTCTCAGACCACGAAAAAGCTCAAATTTCAAATCTAAGCTTCAGCTGGGAGAGCCAGCAGTTAGAAAAACAACCTCAGCTTGTGCTCAACAGAACACAAGTACACTTTGCTCATCAAAGAAACATCCGTTTATTTTCTAGCAATAGAGATTTTTTTGCGTACTTCCTCCTCAGACTGTCAAAGCATGTTACTCAACAGAGCAAAGGTGGGATTAATTGCACGTCTGTATAATCTAAATTTATCTGATTATGGATTTATGGGTGCTGATTGTTTCATAACTCCTTAGTGAAAGTTTACCAGAGCAGTGACTTGGGGGTAGCTCCAACAAGAGTCCAGCATAGACGGAGTTCTGAAGGAACCAGAGATCTGGCAGTACCTTTTCACACACAATGTCAGTAAAGGCAGAGTGGAGCCCAGAGGGAGTTCCAGAGACAGTGACAGAGGTATTACATACTGCAAAAGCTTTTGTCATTTGTTAGGATGAGGAAGAACTTAATTACTACCTGAATAGAAACAAAAGAGGGATCCTTTTACTCATACAAATTGTATCAATTTAACCAAAATTGATGCAAAACCCCAATGCAGTTAAATCTGTGCAAAGGCCAATGAGGCACATTCGTATTGTCTGAAAATCAGGTAAAAATGTTTAGTTTTTATATGTGCAAATTTACTGAACCTGATGTATTCCAAATTAGGAGAATCTGCACAGAATTCTGCCGTTTAAGAACAGCCTTTTAGTTAATCCAATTAAAATTTCTTCTAGATATAGCCTCAGACAGAATAGGCCCTGGGATATACATGTGCTGCAAGTGCATCCCAACAAGACATCAGCATTTCATATCAGCCAGTGACCTCTCTGCTTTGTGCTAGGCAGCAGTGTAGCAGCCTCCTGTAGTGTCACTATGAGGCTCAACTAGCCCCAAACCTATGGCTTAGGAGAAAGAGGGTTTGTATAATTTTCCCCATTCTTTAAGCTTGCCAAGCTCCCTAGCTTTCTACCGATTAAAACACCACAGACTGAGCATTAGGAACATGGTGAAGTGCAATTGCTATTCATCAGAGGACACTTGGCTTCAAGAAAATGGAGTAACCAGATTTAGATACTTGAGGACAATTACATACGCTAGGATAGCTGTGCAGCAAAAGCTGCACTAGCAGCACTCACTAGAATGGATGAACTGCTGAGTTTGCTTCTTTTACTGTTTGATTTGTCTTGCTTGGGACAATTTTTTTTGGTTGTGTCTTCATTGTGCTGTCCCTTTGCGGAGGTATCAGGCTGATTCTGTCTCCTGGGAAACATAACTTAATCCTGCAAAAATTAAGACAGTCTCTTTAAGAGCCCCTTTCTGACCACCAGCCAGAAATGAAGTTGTATGCAGTATTACCTCTGTCCTTTTGAGGATGTTGCATGTCACGCTGTTCATTGACAGGCCCTACTATCGGCATCTTCTTCTGCAGATTTTATGTGGGAAATCTGTTTGTGTCACCTAAAGGCAATTAGTTCCCATGAGTAGCCCCAGTGTGCCCTGTCAACAGGCAGCAGGTGAGGAGAATTTCTGATGCTGGCTGCGGATGCGGCAAAATCTGGTATCTGGTTTCAAAAAGAAACACAGCAGTACAGAGCACTAGGAAGCCAGCCATAGGGATTAGCTGCCAGGTGTGCATCACTTGTGTCCTTGGTTTAAGGCAGAAGTAAAACGTAACTTGTTTGTAAGATTGTCTGCAAATGCCCTTCCTTGGAAAGAATTTTAGCTTCATTGTATTAGAAATGAAGAACTGCTGTTCTTCTTCTTCTTCCTCAAGTTGCTGTGCAGTCCAGACCAGCATTTTTATACAAATGGCAGTGTCTCCCAGGCACCTTTCAGAGATACAAAGTACGCAGATGGAGAAGAGAAATAGTAGGCCTGCAAGGTGATCATTTTGACTGGCAGGGGAATGCAGGATACCGTCACATCCCACTGGAATCAAATGGCGAGTAATTTCCTTGTCATCCTTCCCATATTCCCATTAATATTTGTCCCTCACTGAAACGCCCTAATCAGTACTGCAGTTCACCTTTCACAGAGTACCTGAGCTGGCATTAAACAGGACTGACACAGTGACAGAAAAGGTCGCACAGCATGGCTGGAGAGCATGCCATGTTCTATTGACAGGAGTGTTCATGGTGCTGCAGTGCCACATATTTGCCATGGGTGAGGAGGGGTCCAAAGACAGTGCATCATCTGCATGGATGGATTTACCAGAGGGTTGCTTTCTTTCCAAAATGGACTCACATCTTCTTGTCAGAATCATATAGAGCAGCATCAGATTCATGAGGAATCCCTAAATCCTGCAGAAGGAAAGCACATGTGTACATGGAGGGCCCCTTGCTGCCCGTTACAGTGCTAAGGGCAGCTATTGCCCAGGTTACTACTTGGTGGACCAGCACCTCAGCAGCCCTGCTGAAAACGCAGTGTGTTCAATGCAACTTTTATCTGAAGGTCACTTGTATTCTCCCCCTCACACTGAGCTCTCCTCAATTGAACTGGAAAAGTGTCGTCAATGGTTTTGTGCAGGGAATGAGTCTTTTTTGTCTCTAAATCACAGAAATCCTCTTCCCTATTTACTGATTGGCAAAAATACACACATTTTTTTAGGGAAGGTTTTTCATTGGAGAGGGATGATTTCCAGTCAAGACAACATCCACCCTCTGGCTTTAGAGTGGCTTGTGTGGGGCATGAGCTTGTGGCAGAATGCAGACCTAGGCCCATCGTCAACACATCAGTTAGAAGTTAACTTGAAATATGTTAGTGTTTCTGCTTAGCCTCCCTTAATCCTTCCTTATTTCTCTTGTTTCTGTAAGCAGCCTCCTCAGTTACTTGTTAGTGGCAAGTGAAAATATTTTGTGCTGAGCAGGGGGAAAGGGAGTTGAAGAAATTCCAGACTTAAATTATGAAGCCTTAATGACCTTAATCATTGGAATATAATCACAAAGGGAAAGTGTTTTTAACTAAAAGGTCCCTTTTCCAGAAAGCCCCATTCCCAGAAACATCCTCCTTTTAGGCAAAAGAAGAGCCATGGTCTGGGGTTTCCTGGCAATGCAAGGAAACAGTGTACACTTTCTGATACTCCTTTGATTCTCATCACTCATGAAATCCAGGTGAAGTAGGCAATTTGGCTGCCTTTGAGCCATTTCTTTGCAGACCCCAATGCAAGGAATGCTGCAAAAGAACAGAACAGCAAAGACCCAAGTGGCAGTGGGAATGATCCGCCTGCTTTTTCTGTGCTAGCAACCAACAGAGACTTCACTGCAGCCCAGAAAATGATCCTTTTATTTTTAAGCAGGGACAATATGGTAGCAATAATATTTCAGGAAGTTCCTGAATTGTGCCCACAAGAACATGACTGTTGTGAGTAAATTGAAAGCTTGTTATCTGCTCTGCTGAATGCTAGTTTCAGAAAGGGAGAAAATTTAGTCAATATGAGAAATCTCACTTATACTAGCAGTGAAAGCTGGGCAGGAGTTTTAAAATGAAGAAAGTTGTCTTGCTATCAATGTGAGAAAAAATCCCTTTAAAATTGCAGACTTTTTAAATATACAACAGCAGCAACAAAAATTGCCATAATCTAATCAATTTCTCCAGCAAACAACTAAGGGTGTCAAAGCAAGTGACACAGAATATGAGCTTTCGGTTTGTATGCGCTTTTCTTGAGGTAGATAACCCCGGGAACATAACTGAAATATGTTTGGACAGATTTTTATAATTGCCTCCGCCCTCTGGTCAATATATGCTTCTGTTTCACTGAGGTCGTCCTCATTTACTCCTTGCTGAGTACAGCTGGTGAACTACTATGCAACCTGTACCACACAGAAGACTTAACTCTGTTTTCTAGCATGGGGACCCTCTGGCACTTACAATACACTTTAATTTTATTCTGTATTTCAGTGCTGAATACCACAGGGTAAGTAGCACAGTACTGAATGTAGCTTAATTCAGGAAGCTTAGCTTCTAATGATAAATATCCTTTCTTCACTTTTTAAATGTGGAATGTTTCTTCACTTTTTAAATGTGGAATGTTGTACAATTGAACCATGTCATTTTTAAAAAGAAGAAATAATTGAATTTTGTTGTTGCCTGATTCTGCACTGACTTCTGTCTGTGAGAGAAACCTGTAACACGTGGCTTTCTAATGGCACATCCGAAGATGAGAGATCTTGACAAAATAACCACAGTAGTTATAAAACACATTTTACTCTAAATATACGTGCAGTAACTTTTGTGTTAGGACCTGCCTGATGTGTAACAATTTAAACATAGCACTGAAGAGATACCAAGTGGCAACTTGTCACAGTTTTCACTTCTCATGGAAGAAGGAAGGAACAGCGAAGAAAATTTTCTTACTTTATCTGTCTTTACATGTTCTCTTTCCTCCTTAGCCTTAGCTCAGTCTGTTTTCCAGTTGCTTGCTGCATTTCATTGATGAATTCATTGTGTGATATTTGCTCCTAATCTCCCTGGTTTCTCTGAATGTCATTGCTTAGATTTTGAGGGGCAGTGGGGACGTTCACTGCAATGCATTCACTTAAGGACAGATTCTCTATACTGTGTCACGTACAATAAGGATAATTAAGGAGGGGCACCACAGAGGTTGGAACTGAACCCTGCCTCCTGAAACTGTGGACCACTGTCAGAGTATGTCAAGAGTTACTATTGTAGCCTTGCCATCCTGGAAATCCCTTCCCTACGCAAAGTACCCAAAGAGCAGAGCCATTTATGCTGTGATCTGTGGTGGGATTTTGGTCTTGTTTCAAGTCATCTCTGCAGGACTTTGTAGCACCACAAGGACTATGCTTTTGTAACTCATTTTGTTTTGCAGCATTTTCAGGGTAGATTAGAAGAGCTGAATGAGATGATAGCTTTGTGTTATGAGAGATTTGCAGGGGTTAAAGGAAATATATAGCCTTCCAACAAGTAACAGAGTTACACGGTACACTAGTTTACTGGCATTTACACGTTTTGCTTTGCAACAGTGGGGATGACAATGCCATGAGCAAGTTAATAGCAAGTCTTTGCTATTATCCTGGTATTGTCTGAGCTGAGCTGCATCCACCCATCCCTTCCGTAGCTCCCTGTACCTAGGAGAGATGGTCTCCTTTCAGTTCAGTGGGGTACAGAGCAGAGGATCTTTCCACACTAGATGAAGTGAACATATCCCACCTTTGATGCAGGTGAATCATTCTTCCTTTATCATGAAGGAGTAAGTACATAAGGGAAGAGAAAGAGTCAGACATGGATGAAACCCTGCATCTATTCAGTTATTCAGTGAAACACCCAAAGACATATATTGAGGTCCCAACATTCATTCTTAAACAGTTTTTGAGTCACTAATTCCACAAGGGCTTCACTGTGTTGTTTTTCTTGCCAGGATCAAGCAAATACCAACTGGTGGCTTGAGAACATGGGATCCTGAAACAGGTAACTGCATGTCATTAGTGCTGTTAACATCCAAGGCAGATTTTGAACATACTAGCGCCTCTTCCTTACTTTAATGTGTTTTATTTCAGCTTACCTCACCAGATGTGATTTTAACAACAACTCAAGACCATTTTGTGACTGGACCCAACCTTGCAATGTCAACCAGGGAATATGGATACGAACCAAACATGACACTCCGACTGATGGAACAGGTCCTGGTGGAGACTATCCTGACGGAAGTAAGTGCTCGGTTGTGGCATTGTTGATTTCCCTTTGAAGACAGCTTGACTACCTTTATTATTCTTTCTCTGAAAGAGAAAAGAGATTCACAAAGCCCTTTGAAATGTTGCAGTTTCGTTTCATGCTGACACCTGTCTTTGACTTTTCACCGTGTCAGTTATGAGTAAATTAATCTGGGTTGCCCCATCATGAGTTAGAAATCTTTATCAGTGTATGGAAGTAAAAGAAAGCTAATTATGTCATGCTTAAGGCCTCATAGAGAATGCAGTGATGTGCAAGAGGTCATTATTCAAGAGAGGTCTTTTGGCCAAATTACACTGATATCAGTTAATGGCAATAAATGAAACGATCGCTGTACTGGCACGAGATAATGCTCACGCTGGCAAAGTGTTAGAAGATCAAGTCTGAAATTAAAGAATATCTTTTAAAAGCTTGTCTTCAGCTACATGTGATTGAAAAACTGGGGTCTAACGTGGTCATATCATCAAACGAGTGCTTAGTATGGCTCCATCTCTATGTGTTTGAACCACTACCCTTGCACTAGCAGATCCATTTAAGGGGGATCAGTCTGCAGTCATATTGCTTTCTGTAATTATCCCAAGACTGGAAGGTCAGCTACTGTCAGACTTATTAAGCGGATTAGAACAGTATTAATTGGGATTTTTGCTAAACAATTTTCTGCATTTTTAGTATTTTGATAATAATTAAAATTTCCTGTTGAAAGAAGAAATGAAATATTTTTAATATGGATTCACACAAATGTTTTGCTTTTTGAATTGATATAGACCATATAACTTTAAATGTGTCTTACATTTTCTTGCCAACTAAAACATAAGACTGAATGTTAGATGCTCTGTGTGGAGCCATACTTTATCATATAGAAATGGTCATTAATTTCTTTTTGATTCCTTTCCATAATCAGATGAGAGAGACTTGATTTTAGCTGCAGTGCAAAAACGTAGGTTTGATCTTAGCCCATGGGAAGCAAAAAACTTCAGCCCTAGTAAAGCAAAATGTGATCTCATATTGAACCAATTCAGACTAAAGCATTTCAAACCCTAAAAGAAATACTGTGAGTTTCTGAATTTTGAAAAGTTTCCTTCCTTTTCATAACGTCAAACCTAAATATTTTGATGGAAATATCTGCATTGCTTTCTATCCCTTCCACTTTGAGACAAAACCAAATGCTGATGGGTTGGAATTTTCCTTGTGCTAGGGATTTGCTCATCTTGAGACCAAAATCTTTAGAAAAAAATATATCCCACAAGAGAAGGTGTATAGCAGATTGCATTATTTTCCTTTGGGGAAAGAGGAAACTGAACATGGATCAGTGGGGCACTGTGTCTGGAGATGCTGTCTCTTGAAAGAGGCCTACATCTTTATTTGTGATCCCAAAATAACTGTTCATGTGAGATGGGATATATTTGCTTTGCTCTCCAGCTCACATTCTAGTTTGGATAACTACATGGTGCTAAGCATTGCAACATAAATTCCAAACACCCTCTACTTTGCTTCTTTGCACTGCTAACAATGCCCTTGATTTCTTCCAGAGTTGGGTTGTACTTCAGTTTTAAATGACACCTGGCAAGTTACAAAGATTCAACTGTATTTTAATTTTTTTACTCTGCAGAAGGCTATTTCATCTACCAAGAAGCAAGTAATCTGATCCCATTCGACACTAACAGGCTTGAGAGCCCAGATACTGTAGTTTCTGAAAAAATATGCATAGACTTCTGGTACTATATGTTTGGGTCAGAAGACATGAATGAGCTGAGAGTGCTTATCCAAGACGTAACAGGGGAGTCTGTGGTGTGGATTCGGAAGGGAAACCAGAGTTCCATGTGGAACTATGGTGCCATCACTCATACTTTTCCAACACAGAGAAAGATAAAGGTAATATATTTTCAGAATAAATTTCTTTGTACAGTGTCAGCATTTGTTCTCCCCTTGCAGGCTGCAAAAGCTTGTGCATGTAAGCTAGAAAATATAACCAAGATTTGCTTCGTTTATATTTTGCAAATATAATGGCCTCATGGTCTGTGTCAATGAACTAAGAGAAGAAACAAACAGCCCCCTGAGTTTTACTGGTGCTGTTAGTTAGGGGATAAAATATATTTAGTTTCCTCTCTTTTTCCTTCCTTCCCTCCTTCATTTTATGATGAAGTCAAGGACTTTAGGTGCCTTAATTAAATGCAGGTTTGCCTGCTGTGAGTTAAGGTTTGAACTTTGGGATGCTGCCTACACTGGACTCCTCTGTAGAATCCAGACAACTAATTCTCATAATTCATTTATCAGTCAGCAAAATAGAGGACAATGTTTCTTGAAATCCTTACCTTATTACAGAATATATATTTTAGGCTTCTGAGGGAAGCTAGAAAAAACTGTTATAGCCTCAGCTTACTTGATGCCTTTAGAGATAGACCAGAAAGAATATTTTGAAAACATGCTAAAGGAAATGGTCTCATATTTGTCTAAACAACTCTGATGCAGTGATTCACTTTGCATCCTGCCTAGGTAATTTTTGAGGCTGTCCGAGGACTGACAGAGTATGGGGATACGGCACTGGACAATGTGAGAGTAAGGGATGGACCCTGTGGTAAGTCTGTGTTTGCACCTTAGTGTATACTCCTTCTTCATCTCTGTTTAAGCTGTTGACCATTACTTAATTCCATATACAATATAGAAACTCCTCATAACTTCGAACCAAAAAGAGAAATGGCAAAAACTTTACAGCTCGCTTCATTTGCATGTTATCTGTTTTGTTGTAGTTTTTTCCTAAATCTTTCCTCACCACCTCAAACGTTCAGAATAAGCTATCCCCTTCTCTGCAAATGTGACCATTTTCACGAGGTCCAGCAAACTTTACCTTCACTTTAAGTCTGAAGTGCATCTCTAAACCCAGCCAAGGCTACGCACCTTGCTCTTGGATTCCAGATTAAATGCTCTAATCAGTATTTGACAGCAAATATCAGTTCATACGAGCTCAGCAAATACATAGCACTGCCATATGTCACAAAAAGAAATAATGGTGAGTTAATAAAGCTGAGTTGCACTACCAGCTCTGACTATGAATCAACAGTTTGAGCTTGATCCCTGATCCTGTAACAAATCAGCCAAGACTGGCACAAGCTGTGGATGACTAGGATCTGGAAGTGAATTACAGTTTCATCCCATCTTTACTGACAAGTATGCAATACTTACTTACAAAATGTGAATTGAACAAGAAACTTGCTGAAAACCATATAGAAAGTGTCATTTGGTCTTAATAGGCCTGTGAAATACTACTCGTATAATGACAATAAAATGTTTCAAATTTACACTAGCCAGGACAAAGATTTCCATTCAGGTCCACACCCTCAGAACATATAATTTTCTTTAAAATTCTGTGAAAAATACTTGGGGCTTTTTTTTTTTTTTTTTTGAGGGCTAGGGAGAGCCAGTTCTTCATTTTCCCATGTGTATTAGCACATGATTCAGCCACTGGATGGTGCACTAACGTAACTCCAAGAGACAAGAGAAAAGTGCTCCTCTCTCTGTTCAGCTGTATGGCTACTAATATGATGAAAGTTAAGTGAGTTGTTAGGTCTGGTAAAGGTCAAAGTCCTCCCAACCTTTTTGTTTCTACAAGAATGGTTGAATAGACGTTTTAATCACTCATGAAAAACTAAATATATGTCCTATTGTCACATGAAAAATTAGCTTCCAAGGCAACTTTAGCAAGCAGTCTTTAGGTTATGATGTTTGATATTCATATTGCCATTTGTAGAACTTCTTCACCTTAAATCTCAAAGGTCAATAATCTTAGGAAGAGATTTTCTTCTGTTTTTTTCCTCAGCTCTACAACAAAGTTAACTTAAAGCTTGTTGGGAAGTATCCATTGTGGGAATAAAGCCATTATCAGGATTCCTGTAATTTTTCTGCAGTGTTGAAAGAGCAAAAAGAGCAATTCTGGGCTAGATATTAAAAAACTGCATTTACACTGGAGTAGGGAGCTGGATGTGAAGAAAGGGGCATATAAGAAACAGGTGTACAAGGAACCAGTGCATGCAAAGGAGCTGGTCCCATTTTGCAGGCAGGTTATTACAAAGTATCTGCAGCTTTGAAGTTAGAGCTCATTAAGTGAATGGGATCGTTTTGTGCAGAGATTTATACACTAGATTTCAAATTATGTGAAGTCTATTGGCTTCTAAATTATGATCATAAGTATCTAGCAAAACCCCCAGCAAAACATCCAGCTGAGTTTGAATCACATAGTTAGCACAAAAGCAGTACCATCATAGTATGTAGTTACTGCATCATTATTCTAAAATCTCTAACTTGTTCTCATATGACTTGTTTTCTATATTACAACTTAATCCCTATAAATGATGTCATTAGCAGTGTCAGTAATATGGAAGACCAACTGCCTTACCTGTGGATTCATTTGGATGATTATATACCTATAGTGCATCTATAAGTAGGTTGGAAAGCATTGTGCTCCATGAATCAATTAATCACTTGGTTATCTCCTTGTACACTGACTGTTATCACACACTCAGTGCACAGTGGAGGGCTCACAAGGGTGCAAGAGGAGAGTACCTGAATGAGGAGAGTTGTTGTTTGTTCTGCAAAGGGACAGAAGTGAATGCATGCGTGCTCTGAAGGTTTTAGTCAGTTTGTTGTACTTCCAGAGATTCAGATCCATCACTCGTTCACATGTCTCCAGGTGAATGAACATGACATCAAGAGAATACTCACCCTGGTGTTGCTAGCTCACACATAGAAGCACACCAAGAGGACCACTTCTTTTAGAAGATATCTTTGTGATGGATAAAGAATAGGTGGAGAAGTTGCTAATATTTGTTAGCAAGCAGAAGCAGGCAGGAGGGAAGACTCCACAACATGACTGTTTGTTGTGTCTGTCAGTAGAAAACTCCTACAGCTGTCACGTTCCTAAGAAATAAATACAATTTTGAAGAAACAACAAAACTCTCTGATTAGAAACCACCAGTGCCCTGAGAGTTATTTGTTTCTGCTATATGGCATCTGCTGGCAGGCTACTCACTCCCAGACCTGCCAACACGTGCAGACAGTATGACCTTCATGCCTTAACATACACACCAGAAGGAGTCACATATCCAATTGTAAATACACTTCCAGCTCCAGAGAAGCATACTGGCACAAGCTCAGTCACTGTTACCAAGCTAACAATCAGACAAGCTCTCCTAAGCGCTCAAAAGACCCACACATCCTCATTTTTAAATATAGGCAGTTCTGCTTGCTTCAGTGAAAAACTTCTAACTTTACGCTGGTGAAGAATAAGTGGAAATTCATGTATGTTGGTGTGTAAGTAGTGTTCACCCTGTAATATTATAACTCATCGTATTGCCTTGTCTTTTCTACTCACAGGAGCTCTCCCTCCCCCTGTACCACCAACAAATTCTACACCACCTCCAGTGACAGGTAATTTTAGCCAATCACATATGCTAATCTATGGGTTGTAGAAGGGCACCTAATTTTTTTACTACCAGTGCTACTTATTTGCTTCAGTTAATTTCTTTGGGTATCTCTCTATGGCATTGCCTTATGCCATATAAATCTGCCTTTTCTGTTTCAGTTCTTCCACGTGTAGTCTACAAAATGATTTTGTTTTCCCACTGCACAATGAGGTGGCTTTTCTGGATGTGTCCATATGTTAATGAGAACATATTCCTTTTTCCTGTCTCCAGAAGCAATTTGCAGTATACATGGGGATCCTCACTACCACACGTTCGACAAGCAGCTGCACCACTTCATGGGCACCTGCACCTACACCCTCTCCAAGCTGTGTGAGAGCAACAGCTCGCTGCCCTATTTCAACGTGGAAGCAGCCAACGAGCACAGGGGAAGCAACACTCGTGTGTCCTATGTCCAATATGTGAACATCGATGTGTATGGCTACAGGATCAATCTTGGTAAAAACAGAGTTGTTAAGGTAAGGTTGGAGCCCACTATCTACCATCAGTAACTCATAGTGTGAATGAAGAAATTATTGTACAATGACTACAACTTTCCAGCATACATACAGTGGCATTTAGAGGGCAGTCAGATATTTAGGAGTAGGAGTAGTGTGGAGTTCTTAAACATTCGAATTTCAGCACTGAAAACATAGGCTAAAATTTTGTGCTGTGTTGCTAAAAGGTGGGATTAGACCTGACACTCCAGATGGCGTTGGTGGGCTAGCCTACCTTTCTAGCTTGCTCCCCATGCTCAAGGTTGGTCTGCATCAGGGAATAAAAAGGCCCTGCATTAACCGAGTCCACGCTGGTGGTTATTTCCCAGTCCTGTGTGGTAGCCTGTAAAGCTGCATGCTCATCCCTGATTTCTAGTTATTCCACATCACTGCTAACTTCACTTAACACCTGGCATTTGCCATAAAGCGGGGCCAGATGAGAGAGTCCTAGAGTGACAATCTGATGACTCTCCTCACACTGATTGTGTCACTTGGCCAGCTATTGTATTTTAAGGTGTCTTTATGGTTCCTTTCCATAAAGGGCCAAGACAGCAGACATGTTTGATTCAAATCCCCAGTAAATGAATAGGTCACCTTACTTCTTTACCACACTTATAAGAAAATAGTACAGTGATTTATGTGACAGGAGATAAAGGTTTATATGTACACCAAGACATTTCCCATCTGATCTTAGAAATGTAGTGAACTCATATATTCACATTTGTCCAACAGCTTCTCTTTTATACCTTTCCCCTGTATTTACTGTTTTTATTATATATATATGTTTCTAAGTAAACCAAGCTTTCTTACATATGTAATAAGAACAAATGTTCAAAGTAGATACTAATTTCAGTAAATTTTAAATAAATTGAAAATTTTACTTGGATGCTTACTTGCTATTGTCTGGCATTTCAAATGTGAAAATTAGAAAAGAAAGAGAAAGAAACAGAAAGCAGCTTTTTCAAGATTTGTCCAATCCTGAAAATTTTCTAAGAACCCATTCTAACTACATTTTTTTAATCTTATTTGATCCAAAATAAAATATAGGTCTATAAGCAGTTACCGCTGACAGCCTATGCTAAGTCTTGGACTTTTGTCAGCTGGGTCTGGTTCACCAAGCTCACTTTGACCGCACTTGGAAGCTACGTAGCTACATTATTATGGCCTCAAGGCCCTAGATTATGTGCCCATATACAACATTCATGTTAAGTAATACTTAACACAATGTGAGTTCTTACTGCTTACTGTGCAAGTCCTATGCTCAATATAGGAATGTGATCTAAGAGGGTCACCATTAAAAATACTTCTTTTAAAGTGATTATAGTGATTGTCCTTCTCTGTGCCTGCAGGTTGATGGAGTCAGCCAGGTGCTCCCTCTGACCTTGGCGCGGGGTGTCAGTATTTCCTTCAGTGGGCAGTATGTTGTGGTTACTACCGACTTTGGTCTGAATGTCAAGTTTGATGGAAATCACAGAGCAGAAATCACTCTTCCCAGTACCTATATGTCTAAAGTCTGTGGAATATGTGGAAATTATAATGGGTACAAAGCAGATGACTTTCTTAATCCAGATGGAGAGATGGAAACAAACTCAGCCAACCTTGGCAACAGTTGGCAGGTTTACAATGACTCCAGGTAGGACTGCAACTGGGAAGTTTGGCCTTAGCTGTTGGTTATGCAATGACCAGTATTTTAAGAAACTGTTGTATGTCAGGCACATGGGATAAAATATATTCTTGTCAGTGTACTTACTTTATCTAGCTGGGTAAAGTTTCACAGCAAATTTAACTGTGCTTAAAAAGAGAATATTTGAATAAAACACTGCAGATGCCCACTAAGATTTCAGTTATTTTTATAGTATGTTGACGGTAATACTTGAAGATCTTGTTTGAACTCTTCTGAGATACTTTACTATTTATTTTATAATTTCACAGTATATTATTTAATGATAGTAGAGGTTTAATTTCAAATGCTTTTACTTTTTGTTTGCCTTTCCTAGGTATCTTCCATGTAGAAAGCTTGACTTAAAAGAAAGCCAAAATAAATATTTGGGTTTCTTCCAGGCCTCTCAAAGGTTATAAGTTTGAGATCATGTTAAAATCTGAATTTCTATCCTAAGTGTTTGAAATGTAGAGCTTTAAAATATGTCATGCTTAGCTTGGGGACAGCCCTGTAGTTTTGTTAGATGTGATTTGAAAAGCATCTTAGGTGCTAGTGCATCCAAAGTTCATTGGTGAATTTTTCCACATCTTTTCTTTTTTCCACACCAGGTGCTTGCCAGATGATGGCCATGCTCCAAATTGCACTGCTGATGAAAAACATATGATCCAAAGCAATGAATACTGTGGTCTGATCACAGATCCCAATGGTCCATTCCAGAATTGCCACTCAGTAGTTGATCCACGAAGTTATTCTGAAGCCTGTCAGTATGATCTCTGTGAACTTCATTTGAACAATGCAGTCCTCTGTCAAAACCTGCAGGCTTATGCAGACATGTGCCAAGCTGCAGGAGTCCAGCTGACACCGTGGAGAAATGCAACCTTCTGCCGTATGTATCAAAGATTACTGGAAATTACCATTTGTCAGGAGGATATAATTAGGACTTCCTCAAGACAGAGCATTACAAGACACTGTTTTGAATTCATATAACATTGTGAAACTTGACTGATCAGGCTAAAGATTTCAGGGTTACATATCATCCTCAGTTTGATTCCTTTGGGAAGACTCTAGTGAAAATAGTTAAGCTGCTTTGGATGAAAGGAGAAAATACTGTCTAGTCTATCTTAAAATAGAAATGGAGGCTTTTCCTTTGAATTCCTCTAGTGTCCCTATATTTTTGTTCAGGGGTATTAAGTGTCAGGGACATTTGACTTAGAGGGGTTTTTACCTTCTGAAGAAGCTATGCCTAAACTTAAATGTCTTTGAGAAAAAAAAAAATCTCATTTTGCACACGCTTAGTAGACATGTAAGAGTTTTACCCACCCTCCCTGCTGAGAGCCTGAGCTGCCTTCTCCTATGTTCCCAGCCTCTCTACCCTGCAGGGTGGCCAGGCACCCAGTTAACAGAAGGGAAGCTGTGTCTTCTCCTCCTGCAGCAACCTCAGCAAAAACACATCAAGGTGGATACCTTATATGAACATGGAAGGGACATGAGCCAGAGCAGACAAAAGGCAGAGCTGTAGACGGGGATAAGGAATCCAGGCAGTCTGGGACAGTAAGAAAGGAGCTTTGACTAGGAACTGGAGAGGACTAATGAATAGGCTAAGTGGAAGACCCTGGATTTAGAGAAAGCAAGGAGGAGCTAGAAAGGAAAATGAGAACTTGCTTAGAAGTCTATGGAAAAGAGGAAGGACAGGTTGAAACTGGCTAGGCAGAGCGCCAAGGACAAGGAAGCACAAACTAGCTAGCTGGTCCAGGGGTCGGAGCCTGTTGCTTTTGCAGGAATAGTGAAATCAGAGCTGATGGGAAGAATAAACCTGAGATCGAACAGAGATGATGTTTGAAACTCATAGTTTGTAGCAGTGCAAAGAGAGCAGGATGAAGGAGGAACACATCTGACGAACTGAGCAGGAGATCTGGGATAAAGAGAGAAGAGGAGTATTGGAAACACTATCAGTGGCACAAACACCCATATGTATAAGAAAGGAGGGAGTGCTGGCCATTCATCCCTACAGATGTGGAGGAAAGCATCAGAGTGTCATGTACAGGCATAGTGATTCGTGGTTTTGGATGGGAGAGGGGGCAACACAGGCAGGCAGCCTGGAATTAAAGGCCAGGACTGAAGTAAGAAGTCCGTGCAATGGAGATTGTAACCACACTAATGGAAGTGGAGAAGGTAGTGAGGGTGGAGAAGAGGCAGAAACACACAGAGGCACAAGACAAAATGTGTCAAGTGTTGAAGTAATAGACAGAAGTCTGTGCTGGAGATTAAATGGGAATAATGACCTTTTGTCCGTGAATGTTGGTAAAGATTAAATAAAGAATATTTCTCAAGCATTCAGGCATATATTATAGAAAAAAAACCCAAAAACATGTTATCTTTAGAACAGGATTTAAATACTGTCTGAAAGTCCTGAACAGATCTCCTCCCACCAGAAGCAATGCAAGGAACATGAAATAGTGATCCAGTGCCCTATGTGCCTTCTGCACTGAAGGAGATAGGGAGACTACAGAAAGAGACTTGTCTGTAAACACTGGAATGGCTGAAGCCTGATTTCTTTCTGACTTTTGTTTCACATTTGACTGCAGTCTCTAGCTGGAGCATTTTCTCTGCTGGGGACATACTGAGGTTTTCTCTCACATAGATTCTATGGTTTCTAAGCAGGAGTGAGCCCTCTGTAGCTGTTCTTTCTGCTGAAGAAGCTTGCAGGATCCTTCCTTTTTGCCTTGTGCCTATTTCATTTAATGGACCTGAATATGGTTTTGTCCTCTACCAGCCTCACCAACTTATTTCCAATAAGTCAGCTGGGTCAAATTTAGTAAGTGGGAGGATTAGCAGAGAAATGTGCAAGGTAATTGTGTGATCTCTGTCTCCTTAGGAAAGCAGGCTAAAAATAGAGTGAGAAAATGTCATTAAAACTGAGCTGCATCACATAAACATATAGAATCTGAAAAAAGATTGTTCAGGAAACTTCAGTTCTGGCATCTTCTCACCTGAAAATGTCAGTGTTTAAAGCCTCTAATTAGCTTAGGTATCTACATGTGGTGTGTGTAACAAGATCTAAAAATAGAATAGAGCACTTGTACATCCTGGTTATTTAACAAACATTAAAGACCTTGGTGAAGTGAAAAAATATGCATTAAGAAGGTACAATATGATTAGAATTAAATATCAGGACTATAACCTAAATATGGCACGTCTAGGACAAATAACTGACATGACACTGATATCCTCAGCCCAATGCAAGAATTCAAAGCAATCATCTTCAGGAATAAGAGGTATCCTAGGAAATTCTCTATATGAGTGAAACTTTAAATAGCCCAAACCTCAAAAGCAATTAAAGGGTAGTAAGAGAGCAAAAGCATGCATCAAACTGCCTCAGAACTCCAAAATGTGCCCAAATATTTCAAAACAAAACAGAATATGATATTAAACAAAACCCAATACTTCAGTAGTTAAAAAAGATTAATAAATAGGTTTATATTTATTACACAGCACTAGCCTGCCCTGCCAACAGTCACTACGAGCCCTGTGCTGCAGCCTGCCCTGCCACCTGTGTCGACCCAACAGCACCCTACAGCTGCAGCCTGCCGTGCGTGGAGGGCTGTGTGTGCGACAGCGGGTACCTGCTCTACAATGACCGATGCGTGCCCAGCCAGCAGTGCGGGTGCTGGCACAACGGGCAGCACTACCCCGTGGGCTCGGAGTTCTGGACGGACAACACCTGCTCCTCAAAGTGCACGTGTCCCACGCGGGGAAGCAAAGTCCAGTGCTCCAGTGCCTCATGCCCTACGGGCCAGTACTGCGGGGTGCAGGATGGGAAACCTGAGTGCCTCAAACAATCCTATGGCATCTGCCACGTCCATGGCGACCCTCACTACAACACCTTTGACAAGGTGATGCACAACTTCATGGGCAACTGCAGTCCTGAACAGATCTCCTCCCACCAGAAGCAATGCAAGGAACATGAAATAGTGATCCAGTGCCCTATGTGCCTTCTGCACTGAAGGAGATAGGGAGACTAAAGAAAGAGACTTGTCTGTAAACACTGGAATGGCTGAAGCCTGATTTCTTTCTGACTTTTGTTTCACATTTGACTGCAGTCTCTAGCTGGAGCATTTTCTCTGCTGGGGACATACTGAGGTTTTCTCTCACATAGATTCTATGGTTTCTAAGCAGGAGTGAGCCCTCTGTAGCTGTTCTTTCTGCTGAAGAAGCTTGCAGGATCCTTCCTTTTTGCCTTGTGCCTATTTCATTTAATGGACCTGAATATGGTTTTGTCCTCTACCAGCCTCACCAACTTATTTCCAATAAGTCAGCTGGGTCAAATTTAGTAAGTGGGAGGATTAGCAGAGAAATGTGCAAGGTAATTGTGTGATCTCTGTCTCCTTAGGAAAGCAGGCTAAAAATAGAGTGAGAAAATGTCATTAAAACTGAACTGCATCACATAAACATATAGAATCTGAAAAAAGATTGTTCAGGAAACTTCAGTTCTGGCATCTTCTCACCTGAAAATGTCAGTGTTTAAAGCCTCTAATTAGCTTAGGTATCTACATGTGGTGTGTGTAACAAGATCTAAAAATAGAATAGAGAACTTGTAAATCCTGGTTATTTAACAAACATTAAAGACCTTGGTGAAGTGAAAAAATATGCATTAAGAAGGTACAATATGATTAGAATTAAATATCAGGACTATAACCTAAATATGGCACGTCTAGGACAAATAACTGACATGACACTGATATCCTCAGCCCAATGCAAGAATTCAAAGCAATCATCTTCAGGAATAAGAGGTATCCTAGGAAATTCTCTATATGAGTGAAACTTTAAATAGCCCAAACCTCAAAAGCAATTAAAGGGTAGTAAGAGAGCAAAAGCATGCATCAAACTGCCTCAGAACTCCAAAATGTGCCCAAATATTTCAAAACAAAGCAGAATATGATATTAAACAAAACCCAATACTTCAGTAGTTAAAAAAGATTAATAAATAGGTTTATATTTATTACACAGCACTAGCCTGCCCTGCCAACAGTCACTACGAGCCCTGTGCTGCAGCCTGCCCTGCCACCTGTGTCGACCCAACAGCACCCTACAGCTGCAGCCTGCCGTGCGTGGAGGGCTGTGTGTGCGACAGCGGGTACCTGCTCTACAATGACCGATGCGTGCCCAGCCAGCAGTGCGGGTGCTGGCACAACGGGCAGCACTACCCCGTGGGCTCGGAGTTCTGGACGGACAACACCTGCTCCTCAAAGTGCACGTGTCCCACGCGGGGAAGCAAAGTCCAGTGCTCCAGTGCCTCATGCCCTACGGGCCAGTACTGCGGGGTGCAGGATGGGAAACCTGAGTGCCTCAAACAATCCTATGGCATCTGCCACATCCATGGCGACCCTCACTACAACACCTTTGACAAGGTGATGCACAACTTCATGGGCAACTGCACCTACACCCTGGCCAAAGTGTGCTCCAACACCACCTCCCTGCCCTACTTCAATGTTGAGGCCAAGAACGAGCATCGTGGGAGCACCAGAGTGTCCTATGTGCGCGAAGTCCTGGTTGAGGTGTACGGAGAGCGCATTGCCATTGTCAAGAAGAAGAAGAGCCAAGTGCTGGTAGGCAGTGGGGCTGGCACGAGCGTGGCGCGGCTGCAAGGCAGGGCTGGCTTTTCTTGGCAGGGCCTGGCATGTACAACGACATCTCCATTGTCCCTTGCTCGGGCGGGTTCCCCTGAAGCCACTGGGTTGCTTTGTTTTTCCTTCCCGGAGGGGTTGGAGGAGGAAGAGGCAAACGGGGAATGTGGCCCATGTTGAAGAGAGGCCCCCGCAGAGCGTAGAACACAGACATGGCTCTGCAAGCCACAGGGGCGTCTGGGTGTGAGGGCATCACGGGCACCGGTTTGCCATGCCTGGCCTGGCAGCTGTTTTCCCTGGGGCAGGAGACCCCAGGGAGGCCAGGGACAAGTCCAGGGCCCATTGCAGTGTGTCTGCCCTAGGTGAACAATGTGCGCCAGACGTTGCCGGTGAGCGCAGCGGGAGGTGCCATCACGGTGAGCAGGAGCGGCCGCTACATCGTCCTGGAGACGGACTTCAACCTCAGAGTGTCCTACGACACCGACCACTCGGTGGAGGTGAAGGTGCCCACCACCTACTTCAACCTGACCTGTGGCATGTGCGGGAACTTCAACAACCGGAGAGAGGACGATTACATGATGCCCAACGGGCAGCAAGCCGCAGACTCCAATGCGCTGGGGGAGAGCTGGCAGGTCCCAGACGATGACTCCTCTTGCGGTGTCCCCATGCCCTCCCCACCCTGCAGTGCAGAAGAGGAGAAGGTCTACCGATCGGACCATTTCTGTGGCATGCTGACCGCCAGGCCTGGCGCTTTTGAGAGGTGCCACACCGTGATCAACCCCCAGAGCTACTTTAAGACCTGCTTGTATGACCTTTGTACCCTGAATGGTGGACAGGAGGTCCTGTGTGCTAGTCTGGAGGCCTATGCCGATGCATGCCAGGCAGCCGGCGTGACTCTTCTTCCCTGGAGGAATGCCACCTTCTGCCGTGAGTTTCTGTAAAGAACTGAATCTTTGAATAGTTCCCTTGTTCTCTTAAAAGGCTGATTTTACTGAATAACTGACACAGCTTACAGATCTTAAATTCTTCACATCGTTACGTACAAAATATTGAGAAATAAAATTCTGTATAAGTCATCCTACTATTGTTTTCTGCCAGAGAGCAGAGGAGAATTTTGTTCATTATCTCAGGAATCTGTGTCAAACCAGTAGCAGTAGGTCCCTGATAATGTGGAATCACCTTCGAGTTTTATATGATGTTTTGCTTTTAACAAACCTTTGTTCATTTCCAGACTACATCTAATGACTTTAGCAATCTGTACTTCTAGAGATGTACCAGCTAAGTACTAGATCTAGGGTAGAGAGGCATAGTTTTTACTTGGATTTGGGGATGCTTAACATCCAGGATATATGTGTTAAACATTCATGCTTTTTTCTTGTAGAATGCTTTCTTTTTTGCTTTTTGATATCAAAATAGGAAGGGAATTTCAGGCTTCAAAAAAAACCCCCATTGTCACTAGTTCAAAACAATCACATTTTTGGATCATGGTTTCATATGAGTTGTGATCGTCAGTTCAGTGCCTTTTATTGTTTTTCAGCTGTTGCATGCCCTCCCAATAGTCATTACAATCCATGCACGAATGCTTGTCCAGCAACCTGCATTGACCCTCTTGCATCAAAGAACTGCAGCAGACCTTGTGTAGAAGGATGTGAATGCAACAATGGTTTTGTCATCAGTGGGGGACAGTGTGTGTCCATGAGCAACTGTGGCTGCCTTCAAAATGGCAAATATTATGAGGTTTGTTCTGACACGTAGTTCAGGGGCTTATTTCACGGTTCATCATTACCATTAACCCTTTTAATTTGTTTGTATTTTGTTGCCTCTAACAGAAAGGAGAAGCTTTTTGGCAAACAGACTGTGCAGGCCAATGTATATGTGCTGGAAATGGGACTGTAGTTTGCAATTCAGACACATGCGAAGCAAGCGAAGTTTGCAAGGTGCAGAATGGACTCCTGGGATGTTATCCATTGAACCCCAGCACCTGCCACATTTTTGGGGATCCACATTATATAACCTTTGATGGGAGACTGTACCATTTCCAAGGAGACTGCAATTATACTGTCGTTGAGACATGCACAAATTCTTCTGAAAGGTTTTCAGTGACAACCAGAAATGAACATAGAGGAAACCCACACTGGACAGCCTTGAACTCAGTTGCTGTCACACTGAAAAATCTTCATATTGTTTTGAAGAAAAATAAAGAGATCTATGTAAGTGTTCTGCTTTAAGCATAAACAATCCATCTCATCTATTCACTTTACATTTCTGTCCAAAAGAACTGAATCAGGCTTCTCTGCTTTATTCACCTCCAAGACTGTACATGCTAAAAGTCACAGAAATGTTTGTTGGTGGTTTGGTTTTTTTGTTTGTTTGTTTGTTTGTTTGTTTTTTCAAAAAAGGCAGAAATCAGCATAGCTTCCTTCTGTCCATTCAATCTTTTCTAAATGAGGTTGTAGGAAAAAAACAGCTTCATCCATAGCTTCATCTATAATAGAAAACATTTGCTGAAATAAATCTCAGTCTGAATTTTATAGATCTGGTCTTTAAAATAGAAATAGTATTTTTACTATACACTCTCAGACTCATACATACCAGAGCTAGCTTTAAACTAGCTATTCCAAGTATTGCTATGTGTGTAGTTGTGACAGCACAGAGCTCAACTTGTCCTACAAAGCACTATTCAAGGTGTGGGATAAGTATACAGCCCTTTAGCCTCTGCTAAGCTTCGAAGTTCTGTGTCTACATTGTTCATTAGAATAAGGCTGACTTGGGGAAGAAAGCTACTTGTAGATCTTTGTGTAGTACTGTATAGAGTACAGTACTAAGTGTACTCTACAGAGAGTACACTTTACTGTGTAAAGTACTGTGTAGATCTCCCCTTTGTTCCCGGGAACTTTATTGACTTACCTGGATGTGTGGGTTTTGTTTTCTTTAGGTGAATGGAGTTCAGGTTTATCTTCCTGTGGATTTGAACCATGGAGCCAGAATAACTATAAAAGGACACTATATGGTCATTGATACCTCTATAGGGATCCAGGTTAAGTTTGATGGTGACCAGGAGCTTTTCATTCTGGTTGATGAAAGTCTCAAAGGACAGCTGTGTGGTCTGTGTGGGACATTCAATGACAACCAACTGGATGATTTTCTAAAACCAGATAAAGTCCTAGAACAGGATCCAAATAAATTTGGTGACAGCTGGCTAGTGAAAGAGGACAACAGGACGTAAGTATCTGATAATACTTTAGGAAACAGCAAAATGCCTGAAACATAAATCATCTAGTTATAGGATTAACATACATTACTTACATTCCGTAGTAGTCCTTTTTTGACATTACTTGTTTGCTAGTGTTTTCACCTTTTAATAACTTCACTTTTCAATAGAAAGCATTGAAATTTTAAAACCACCCTTCAGAGGTTTTCCACATGAACTGTGTAGATTTCATTTGAAATCAGGCACATTTTTGCATATAACTTGATTTTTTCCTTACTTTATTCTAAAATATCTCCTTTATATGATCTTACTATAAGAAGTCTAAATATATCTCTCCAATTCAGCTCCTAAGATAACTCCACATTGATTAACATAGGCATGGGGCATTTATCTTTCTATTAATGCTTTCACATACAAATTACTGCTCTTACTATATGCAATAGTGAATTGAAATTATCTTGCTTGTGTTAGATAGCTGATTTGTTGGTTCCTTCTGGACTTCATTCTATGGATAGGCAGTCATACACCAACAATTCACAATTATATTCTTAATGGGGAATTATGAGTCAAAGTGTAATATTTCTCACTTTCGGGTTTGACACACTAAAGATGACTATACACAGCAAACCCATGCAATTTGGCATAGGGTTCTATTACTGTTGAGGTATGCCTTGCAGGATAGAACAAAATAGAAAGATTTATTACATAACCATGCTGCTGTGTATTTTTGATGCAGGTGTAATCCAGTTGCAGTTGTACCGCCCACTTGTGACACAGCAAAAGAGAAAGAATATGAAGAACTCTGCAAAATTATTTTGAAAAATAGTGGGCCTTTTCAGGTCTGCCATTGGCACATTCCCCCACAGCTGTACTTCGAGAGCTGTGTCTATGACCTGTGTGCCACAGAGGGGAATTCTGATCAGTTTTGCAAGATTTTAGAGGCATACGCTGCTGCCTGTGAACTTGGAGGTGTAAATCTGGGTGAATGGAGGAAAGATACCATCTGCGGTAAGTCATTAGGTCATTTAGCAAATAGCCATCCAATTAAATCCTCATGCTACAAATATAAATTTAAATGTATAAGAAGTTGAACAGAATTTCGGAAAAGGGGATTCAAGGAGACACGGGAAGCTTTCAAGTGCTTAGCATCTCTGGAAATGGGGCTTCTAATCTAAGCTTCTAATGGGCTTCCAGTATTCACTTTAGAACTTGATGTTTGAACACTTTTGACCTAAGACCATTGTTCAGAATTGGGTCATGAAAGACAACATACACTGTCAGTAAAGAGCTCAGCCACAGACAATTGAGCACTTGTCTAACAAATCACCACTTTGGCTTTAATAAAATATTTTATCTTTTTGAGAAGTGTTAATACATCACTTACCCAACCTGTCTACAGCTCCAGGTTTTCACCAAGCATGTGACATAAATTCAGAGGTATGTAAACCAGGGCTTTAAAATTAATAAAGGAGAATCCTGCAGCTTGAGGTCCATTCAGCCTTCCAGTCATAACACTATTAGGCCCTTATTATCTAGGTAGACTAGTTAGCATGGAGGTAAGGCTAGAGATAAGAAACTGCTTCTTCTAGAACTACCAGAGGTGATTACCAAAGCCAGCAGAAATGGCAGCCTAAGTATGAGGCTGTGACATGCAAAAGGCATTCCATAATCTCTTTCCAGTTCTGAGACAATACTTCTCATCCCAGATTATAAGCAGTAAAAAGAAATGTCAGACCATTCTCATTATGATGTCTAGATTTCCACCTAAGCAGGACTTTGAGAGCCAGCTGAATACTACTGTGTCAATTAGGACAGCTTTGAGCAATTTGCAATGACCAAGGATTATGACTGTAGCACAGTGTAAAAATACAGGATATTAGTGCATTATGATGATAACTGAGGAAGGGACTTGTAAAATAACACACATTCTCAGGCACTTAAGATTTCATATTTTATAGTCAATTTTTCAGTTCTGGTCACTACTACTCATTCCCATTATGAGGTTTTCAAATCTTTCATGAACACGGGTGCATGAGACCTAGAAGGGCATTATCAGAACAGAGAGAAGATTCCAAACCTCATTGTGGAAACTCTGTTTTTCTTTCTGCACCATATACAGTTGCATCAACAGTCTGCAATATGTCCTGCACATTTGATGTCGACTTCTGTGAGTGGAAACAGGCAACCAGTGACAACTTTGACTGGATAAGGCACAAGGGGCCGACACCCACACCGAATACCGGCCCTTCCCATGACCACACGACTGGAGGTGGGAACAGCAAACAGTATCTGGCTGTGCTTCTCGTGGAAGAGGGCAAGGACCCTCTTCTAACAGCAAATCCAGGCCATGTGTTTCCTAGGCTCAATCCAGAGCCTTCTGCAGCCATCAGGAATCTGTTGTGGGATGGATGAACAGTGCAGGACATTGATGAGTGTGTGACCTGTTAGCATAAGTTCCTGAAAGAGGCTTCAGGAAAGGTTGAGACTGGATCACTGTGGCACTCAGCCTTTCCTTTAGAAGTCTTTCCTTTCCCTAAGTAGGAGACCAGTATAATCTGCTGGAAATCCATTTGGGGAATGAAAGTTTAATGCAGGTGCTGGGTGAAGAAATGTACTGTACACAACCTGTAAATGAGTGACTTTGTCTTGTCCTGTCCCATTAATGTGAAAAATTGTCACTCTGCTGTTTCCAGAGGGCTATTATATCTACCTGCAAGGAAATAAGCAAGAGCAAAGTGAGGTAGCCCGCTTGGTCAGTCCAGTGTGCCATTCAGAAGGACCACACTGCTTCCGCTTCTGGTATCACATGTACGGAGTGGCTGAAATGATGGCCCTGCGCGTGTATGTAGTTCACAATGAAACATCAACACTGGAATGGAAAGATGCTGGAAGCAAAGGGGACAAATGGAACTTGGGAGAGGTCACGGTGCACAGCAGAGGAAACATGCAGGTAAGAGCACAGGCTTTCAGTGCCACCTGAGGTGAACTGTGCTTTGTAATGGCACTTCACATATGTGGTTGGAGCTAATGCTGGGAACTACCCCTTCCCTTAGATTGTCCTGGAGGGCATGAGAGGTGAAGATTTCCATAGCGACGTAGCATTGGATGATCTGTCCATTGAAAAGGGATACTGCACAGGTACAAGGCTTGGCTTGGGGAAGGGCAGCTTGGGGAATGTTATGCTTCTTGTGGCAGTCAATGTAGTTTCTGTCTTGAAGAAGAGCTGGTCAAGGAGGATTGATTTGCTTGTACCATTGTCTCTTTAGTAGACTCTGAGACTCAGACACCACCAAGCACCATCATCACCACAACTTCAGGAGTGGAAACCACGTCAGCACCCATTCCGTGCTCAGGTGAGTAGAGTAGACCATTCATGGGGCCGCAGTCCTCTATGCAGGGTAGGCTGGGGAGCACAGGCAGCAGGAGGTGCTTAACTGAACGTTTCCTCTGGTCTTTCCACTGTCAGAGACCTGTGTGGTGGAAGGAGACCCTCACTACCACACGTTCGACAAGCAGCTGCACCACTTCATGGGCACCTGCACCTACACCCTCTCCAAGCTGTGTGAGAGCAACAGCTCGCTGCCCTATTTCAACGTGGAAGCGGCCAATGAGCACAGGGGAGCCAACACTCGCGTGTCCTATGTCCGATACGTGGATGTCGATGTGGCTGGCCAGCGGATAAGACTGGGGAAGGGTGGAGTGGTGACAGTAAGCACAAGAGGGAGAGGTGGTGGGGCTGTGCGAATGGAGAGAGCTGTGCCAAATGTGTTGCTCCAACCCTGTCTTGGTTTCTGTCCTTCCAGGTCAACGGAGTGGCAGAGGTTCTGCCCTGCACCCCATCCACCGGCGTGCAGGTCTCATCCAGCGGGTTCTACACTGTGGTGACAACAGACTTTGGCTTGAGAGTGAAGTTTGATGGGAACCATCGGGTGGAGGTGACACTTCTGAGCACCTTTGGGCAGAAGGTTTGTGGCATGTGTGGGAACTACAACGGGATGGCAGCAGATGACTTCTTGAACCCGGAAGGCGTGCTGGAGCCAGACTCCACCAGCCTGGGCAACAGCTGGCAGGTGTCCAATGACAGCAGGTGTGTGTGGCCCCCCAGCAGGTCTGGGGACGTGTTGGGCAAAGGGAGGGGGAGGCACCAGGAGAAGCCCGCAGATGACCCAGGGGCCCTTCTCCCTGTCTTTCCATAGCTGCTCAGCCGGACCACTCCCCACCCCAGCCTGCAATGAGACGGACAAGCAAGTCATTGCCAGCAGCCACTTCTGCGGGCTCCTCACTGACACCAGTGGCCCGTTTCAGATGTGCCACACTGTGCTGAGTCCCAGCAGTTACTTTGAAACCTGCTTTTATGACCTGTGTGAGCTGGGGCTGGACCGCGAGGCCCTGTGCAAGAGCTTGCAGTCCTACGCAGATGCCTGCCAGTTGCTTGGTGTCGAGATACCTGTGTGGAGGAACGCAACCTCCTGCAGTAAGTCCACACACAGTACCTCGGATCGTTACTCTCAGGAAAACGCAGCATAGGAATGAAAGAGTGGGGTGGGGAATAAGAAATATTTTTATTATGTGCCGTGGGGATTTACAGGTAGTCCTCAGTATTAGAGGCACCATTTTCTATTTCGTTTGATCAGGTATGACTTAGAATACCAATGGAGCCAAGCAGATCACAGAGAAAATATAGACTCTTAATTTTTCAAAGGGGAAAATACAGCACAAAGAAGTGTTATGTTCTCCATGTAATGGCCATGTCTTCTGTCTCGGCAGCCATCACCTGTCCAGCCAACAGTCACTACGAGCCCTGTGCTGCAGCCTGACCCGCCACCTGTGTTGATCCGATTTCTCCTGTTACCTACAGCCTGCCGGGCGTGGAGGGCTGTGTGTGCGACAGCGGGTACCTGCTCTACAATGACCGATGTGTGCCCAGCCAGCAGTGCGGGTGCTGGCACAACGGGCAGCACTACCCCGTGGGCTCGGAGTTCTGGACGGACAACACCTGCTCCTCAAAGTGCACGTGTCCCACGCGGGGAAGCAAAGTCCAGTGCTCCAGTGCCTCATGCCCTACGGGCCAGTACTGCGTGGTGCAGGATGGGAAACCTGAGTGCCTCAAACAATCCTATGGCATCTGCCACGTCCATGGCGACCCTCACTACAACACCTTTGACAAGGTGATGCACAACTTCATGGGCAACTGCACCTACACCCTGGCCAAAGTGTGCTCCAACACCACCTCCCTGCCCTACTTCAATGTTGAGGCCAAGAACGAGCATCGTGGGAGCACCAGAGTGTCCTATGTGCGCGAAGTCCTGGTTGAGGTGTACGGAGAGCGCATTGCCATTGTCAAGAAGAAGAAGAGCCAAGTGCTGGTAGGCAGTGGGGCTGGCACGAGCGTGGCGCGGCTGCAAGGCAGGGCTGGCTTTTCTTGGCAGGGCCTGGCATGTACAACGACATCTCCATTGTCCCTTGCTCGGGCGGGTTCCCCTGAAGCCACTGGGTTGCTTTGTTTTTCCTTCCCGGAGGGGTTGGAGGAGGAAGAGGCAAACGGGGAATGTGGCCCATGTTGAAGAGAGGCCCCCGCAGAGCGTAGAACACAGACATGGCTCTGCAAGCCACAGGGGCGTCTGGGTGTGAGGGCATCACGGGCACCGGTTTGCCATGCCTGGCCTGGCAGCTGTTTTCCCTGGGGCAGGAGACCCCAGGGAGGCCAGGGACAAGTCCAGGGCCCATTGCAGTGTGTCTGCCCTAGGTGAACAATGTGCGCCAGACGTTGCCGGTGAGCGCAGCGGGAGGTGCCATCACGGTGAGCAGGAGCGGCCGCTACATCGTCCTGGAGACGGACTTCAACCTCAGAGTGTCCTACGACACCGACCACTCGGTGGAGGTGAAGGGAGGGCTGGCAGGTCCCAGACGATGACTCCTCTTGCGGTGTCCCCATCCCCTCCCCACCCTGCAGTGCAGAAGAGGAGAAGGTCTACCGATCGGACCATTTCTGTGGCATGCTGACCGCCAGGCCTGGCGCTTTTGAGAGGTGCCACACCGTGATCAACCCCCAGAGCTACTTTAAGACCTGCTTGTATGACCTTTGTACCCTGAATGGTGGACAGGAGGTCCTGTGTGCTAGTCTGGAGGCCTATGCCGATGCATGCCAGGCAGCCGGCGTGACTCTTCTTCCCTGGAGGAATGCCACCTTCTGCCGTGAGTACCTGCCTTGCAGTTGCCAGAAGGGAAATGTGCTGCTCCCCATGCCCAGAACCTCTGGCCAAAGCAAGGCTTTGGTCTTCCCCTTCCCAGAAAGTCGCCCTTCCTTGAAGGCTTGCTGGTCCTAATTGTCCCCTTCGCATTGCAGCCCTCCTGTGCCCTGCCAACAGCTACTACGACCCTTGCATGACCGGCTGTCCTGCCACCTGTGTTGACCAACAAGCACCGCAGAACTGCTCCAAGCCCTGCATGGAAGGCTGTGCATGTGCCTCTGGCTTCCTCCTCAGCGGAGACACCTGTGTGCCCAAGGCCCACTGTGGCTGCCTCTTTGAGGGCAACTACTACAGCGTGAGTGAAAACCCTGCCCTGTCTTACACTCCTCCCAGGGCACTCCCTTGCCTCTACTTTCCCGCCTGGTACGCTGACGCTCAGTGTTTCTCTGCCTGCAGGAAGGCGAGTACTCTGTTAGCGAGAACTGCACTCGCCAGTGCCGGTGTGAAGCCAATGGCCAGATGGTTTGCTCTCCGTTGTCCTGTGGTGAGGACGAGGTCTGCAAGATCCAGAATGGCCAGAGGGGCTGTTACACAGCCAGCACTGCTCTCTGCCACATCTACGGCGATCCACATTACAGCACCTTCGATGGGAAGCTTCACCACTTCCAGGGCTCCTGCAACTACACGGTGGTGACAGGCTGTGACAACTCCTCCGTTGGGTTCAGTGTCACCACCCGCAATGAACATCGTGGCAGCAGGAGCTGGACAGCTCTGAACTCTGTGGCACTGTCCATGGAAGGCCTCCACATTGCACTGCGCAAGAACAAGGCGGTCTATGTAAGCGCCTCATTTTTACACCTGGGAACAACAGATGCCCTAGGCACCATTAAGTACCACTCTGTCCCCAAGAAGAGCTTGATATTCCCTGAGCCTGCTGGCGTGCTCACAGAAGAGCACAGCGAGGCTCTGAGTGGGGCAGATATGGCTGCTCGTACAGCAACAGATTTTCGGCTTGTTTTCCTGAGCTTTCGGTGTGCCATGTGTAGAGTCGCTGCTGTTCTCGTAGGCCTGGGCAGAGTTTCTCATGCCATCAGTGCTTCTGACTCACTGGGCCCTGGCACCATCGCAGTGAAGAACAGTGACCTCTCAGCAGAGGGCATCTCTTTATGCTTCTGTCTCCCTCTCTCCCCCTTATTCAGATCAATGGTGCTCTGGCCTCCCTGCCTGCTTCTCCTGCCCCCGGTGTGACCATTTCCATGAGTGGCTCCTACGTGCGGGTTTCTACCAAGTTGGGCCTGCAGCTGCAGTTCAATGGGGACCATGAGCTCCTAGTGAACGTGTCTGAGAAGCACAAGGGCAAGCTGTGTGGGCTGTGTGGGACGTACACTGGGAGCCAGCAGGATGACTTCATGCAATCCAATGGGGTTGTCGTGCCCAATTTCAATGACTTTGGAGCCAGCTGGATGGTGCCAGATGCTGAGTGGCCGTGAGTCCTTGTTCCGTCGCATAGATGACAGACAAAAGGGAGTGTGGGAGAGGGGAGCTGTGAGGGGCACAAGGAGGGAAGGTTGGTAATAGCAGGCATGGGGCAAGGGAGAGGAGGCAAGCAGCTGTGGGAAAGCATGTGGGAGCACGTAAAGGCTCCACAGTGGCAGACGTATCATCCTTGCGTCTTACCTCTCTGCTCCACCCATCAGTGGGATATCTTGTCTGCAACTGGGTGCCAGATGTGTGGCTGTTCCCCTTTCCCCTCAAGGCTGGCTTGCTTGTGGCAGTGTCCAGGCCCCTCCATGTAGTCAGGGTGCACAGTGTTTGTTCTCTCCCCATAGGCGCTCTGCTCTGGGGTCCTTGGTGACCTCTGTGCAGGGCCCTGCCATCGCACTCCACACACTGCTTCTCACTATTCCTGACCCCAGAGAGAGTGGGCCGGAGCCTTGGCATGATGCTTTTCCCAAGCTGTTGCGATTGCAACTGCCTCGGCCATTTGTTTCTGTCCACCTGATGCCACGGAGAGAATGGTGACTGTGGGCCATGTTGCCCACCCTTGCAAGTGACAGCCATGGGTGCCTTGTCTTAGCAAGGGATCTGGGCTCCAGAGGCTGAGGTTTTGGCTGGGGAGGAGGTCAGGAAACAGTGTGGCTGGGGTCCACGGGCTGCTGTGAGCTCAGGGCTGTCTGTCTGCTTTGTAGGTGTGACCCAGCCATCAGGCCGCCTGCGTCCTGCTCCGAGGAGGAGGAGGAGGCAGCTAACAAGCAGTGTGCAATCCTCACGCAACTTGGTGGCCCATTCCAGCTATGCCATGCAGTTCTGTCACCTGAGACGTACTTTGAGAGCTGTGTCTATGACCAGTGTGCCACAGGTGGCAGCACGGAGCAGCTCTGCAATGACCTGGGGGCCTATGCCTCAGCCTGTGCTGAGGCAGGCATTGCTCTGGGAGACTGGAGTGCTGGCACTGTCTGTGGTAAGTGCTCTGTTGATCTCCTTTGTGGCCCAGATTCAAGGAACGGGGCAGCTGTGGTGGAGGTTTCTCCACTCTGGTGGGCCAGCCCCTGGGTGAAGACACTCTTTGTGACAGGGATACTGTGGAATCCCTGGCCTGCGCTCTTTTTGCCATGGTGTGGGAGTGTTTGGGAAGAGTGCAACATCCCCATTTGGGAACAAATCCCCATTATGAAACACATCTTCTCCACCTCTGCTTCACTGTACATCCAGCAGCTCCTACACCCTCAGCCCCCTTGCCAGACACCCCAACACGGCCCTCACATACAACGACATAACCAGCACCTGGGACAAGCACAGATACTGTTGTCTCCCATCCATGTTTTTTACTGGCTGTGCTAGGCATTCAGCTCGTGCACTTCCACTTGGCTGACCATCCTCACCTGGCGATGAGCATGCCAGGGATGTAGGTGTGCCCTGTGGGACACGGGGAAAAGGTGGTCCCACCCTCATTCTAGAAACTCTGCTTTCCTTTCTGCACTATATCTGGCTCCCGCAGATAACTGCAGTTTCGCCTGCACATTTGACAACGACTTCTGTGAGTGGGTCCTGGCAGATTACAGGTGGGAGAGCACTTGCGTGCTGCAGTTCTTGCTGAGGAGTCACTGTGCGATCCCTGCCCTGGGCCACGCTGGTCACGGTGTTGAGTGCTTGGGAAGGGTGGGACAGCTGCCTGCAAGAAATCTCCTCTGTTGGAGAACATATCCTCTAACTCTCTCTTGTGCTAGGTCCATCGACACCAAAACCCACGATCCCCTCGCCAGGCACTACAACACAGCCTCCACGCACGCCGTCACCACCAACACCCACACCGAGCTCAGGTACTGCCATGTTCCATTCCCATCTTCTACCGCTT